GCAACGAGCTCCCCCCCACCCTATTATAGACCATAGCAACGAGCCCCCTCCCCCCTTTCCACCCCATTACAGACTTTAGTTATGAAGAATAAAAGGTGTCAGATTTTCTAGAGTGTGAAAAATTGCTCAAGTTATAATTTTGAAGATTAGTCAACATCATTGTTTGTGAGTTGATTAACATGTATACAATAGTGCATAAGATGTACTGTAGATATCATGCATATGTAAAATAGACTTATTTGCCGATTCAATGATTATAATAATAAGAATATTAAATTAAAAAAACACGAATAAAAAAAATTAAACAATAATGAGCGAATAGCAACAATGCAAACAAAAAATAGGGCGCCGCAGAAAGAAAAAATTCTATTTTAAATGTAGAAATAAATTTAGAAGTAAATAATAAATTCTCACTCTTGTCATCGATTATTAGTGAAAACAACTACAGTCGACGAGAATTTTTTTCAGTTTACGGATGATGTATTAGGCCAACAAGGTTGAAGAATATATGTGAGTTCCACATTTCAGCTCCGAAGGAGCCGTGCTAACAAGCTTTTTTTGCTTGTTTTATACAAAAGAAAATATTTTTCGCATATGGATGGGAATTAAAAATAATATCCAAACCCAAACTGTTTGGATTTGGTGCACTCCTACGTACGGCATGTGTATGAAAAAACCCACAGACGAGGAAAAGTAATACTGAACCACAATTTGTTACTCGGTGCGGTTCGCCATTTTGGTGCGCTGCGGCGGCGACATCGAATAGAAGTGCCGGACTTTCTGCTCGTTGAAAGCACGCACGCGCGACTTGAGCAGGGCGATGATCTCGCTTTCGGACGGTCGCTCGGACTCGGGACCTAGGTGGACATACAGCTCGGCGAGGCGCTTGTAGTTGTGCAGCATGAGCAGGGCCCAGAGGTTCATGAATCCGAGCTGTTGGAAGACAATCGGACGTTTTTCGTAGTAGGCTGAGAGCTCCTTGATGAGGTGCGTCGGATGCTCGCTCCAGTGGCGGCGTGCGTTGAGATGGTGGCTCGTGTGGTAGCCGTCGTTGAAGGCCTCCTTGTTGTAAGAGTGTCGGACGCAGGTGACGCTGGACTTGTAGTTGCACTTGGGATCGCTTGGGTCGATGAACGAGTGCTGTGCCCAGTTGCTGCTCATCATACCGAAGCGCACAATAATCAGCGGGATGAAGAAGACAAAGATGCCGCCGAACAGGTTGTAGTTGGTGACGAGGCCGGCGATGGTGAGCCACGCGACCTCGCCGCCAAACGTGGCGAATGCGTTCCAGTACTGCGTGCGCTTGATGAAGTACACGGGCAGCGTGATGGCGGCAAAGAAGAGGAAGAGCAGAAAGTACTGGCAAAAGTCGACAAAGCTGTCGCGCTGGAAACGTAGCGTGCTGGAGAGGTCGTTGGGCCCGTTGTCCTCGACGTGGTGGTGCTTGACGTGATGATAGTAGTACGTGTTCCACGTCTGTCCAAGCAGCGGCGCCAGTAGGTACGGGACGACACCGTTGAGCGCGGCGTAGGGCGACAACTTCTTGTGCGACGTGTTGTGCAGGATGGCGGTGAACGTGCCGACAAACTGCAGGACAAGGATGATGTGGACAATTCCGCGCCACCAGGCGAAATCGAGCATAAGCCACAGAGCGGAGGGGAGAACAGAGGCAAGCATGAGCACGATGAACAGCACAAAGCAGTCGTTGCGGGGATCGTACAGCAACGGCTGGAAGTAGTACCGCGCCACATGCGGGTACCAACTGGCCGTCTCTACAACGCTGAACATGGTCTTGTGCACAGTGGTCGCCGGCGCCGAGCCATCGCGCGCCGTATCGAGAAGCTGAAGGATCCCGAGATCGTCTACCTCGGTGAAGCGGGATAGCGCCACACCAGCCGTTTGCATTTTTCTTCTTTTTGTTTTGTATCACTGAAATGCGACAAATGCAAAGAAAAAAAAGAAAAGACAAATAAAAAGGACAAAAAAAAACGACGTTTGATAGAGCAAATGTGCCTAATATCGACAGCAAAAGATTCTCTTATCTTGCTTGAGTCCCTGCACAGCTATTTTATATATGAAGTAAAATATTTTTATACACGCACTATCTCTGGATTCTGCTCTCTCAAATGGTATATGTTAGCGTTCGTTTGGTGACGAACACTAGCTGTGTTCTTCACTCTCTGATTTTACTCTCTAATGTTTATTTCATGGAAGCAAAACGTATATATATATATAACATAAAAACAAAGACAGAATAATAGATCAAGGAAGAAGAAAAAACGACATCAAAATGAAATCATAGCATAGATATCAAAGAATAAAGAAAGAAAGAAAAGAATAAAGAAAGAAAGAAAAGAATAAAGAAAGAAAGAAAAGAATAAAGAAAGAAA